ACCTTGACCAATAAGAGGTATTACCATTCTCTTAAATCTTTGCTACCATGTGAAAATAATAGCTTATTGTTTTAATTTTCATGTAAACATTTTTGTGTATTGGGATTTTGGTCTTATCCCTTTGCGAATGTGAGGTGTTAGGGAGTTACTTAGTGTTTGAGTTTAGGGAGAGGAGACCAGGATGTGTTACCCTCTGTGACAGTAACTTTCACTCCCATCCTTTCTCTTTTCTTGCAGGAGTTAAGGGAGCACGGGGAAAAGAAGAAACGCACGCGGGAGGACGCTGGGGACAATGATGACACGGAGGGTGCTATGGGTGTCAGGAACAAGGTGGCTGGAGGAAAAATGAAGAAACGGAAAGGCCGTTAATTTCTCTTACAAAGACTCGACTTCAGCCTTCTGTTCCATAAAAGGGGATTGTAGGAAAGAATGAAACCTCCTCCGGCAGAGTTCTTCAGACCGGAATCTGTCAGAATCATGTCCAGAACCTCCTCTCAGTACTCGTTCCCCTTCTGTAGAGCACCATGACTGCAGACTGGCTTTTCCAGCGCTGAGGTCAGCTTTGGATCCTTGGAAACGACCTGAGTAGGATGTGCTCTTCTTTCACTTGACATAGACCTTTTGCTCTTTCAGCTGAAAGTCAAGGACTAGGTTGATGAAACGCTGGACTTGTTATTGTAAAGGGAAGCTCCTACGTCTGTAAAATGGTGATACTTTAAGCAGTCTCAGCTTGTGCTTCATTAGACCTAATGTGGAATAATAAATTTAAATATTTTTAAAAGATTCAGACTCCTTGAAGACCTTTATAGGTTGAGGGACTTTAGAGATTTAAGTAAGATCTTGCTAATAGGTAAGAAACTGGGAGTGGCAGTTATGTGGCAGATTCATTGCTCATCCATAATTAAGATAAACATTATTTATGATTTAAAAAAATCCACAAAGGGGGCGCCTGGGTGGCTCAGTTGGTTGAGCAACTGCCTTCAGCTCAGGTCATGATCATGGAGTCCCAGATTGAATTCCCGCATCGAGCTCCCTGCTCAGCAGGGAGTCTGCTTCTCCCTCTGATCCTCCCCCCTCTCATGTGCTCTGTCTCTTATTCTCTCTCAAATAAATAAATAAAATCTTTAAAAAAAAAAAGATCCACAAAGGAACAAGATGATGGATGGCTTTGAAAGGGAAGTCCTGCTTAAAAGGAGGTTGTGTTTTTTTTGGTGATGGACCAAAGTCCATAAGTAAGACTGCAGATTCTGTTAGATCACTAAATAGATTCACTTCCCTGGCTTCTTGGATTAAACATTTGGATAGGAAGACTGGTTTCTTATATAGACTCTTATCCCCACGTAACTAGAGTTAAGATCAAGAAGCATCAAAAATAAGGGTAATTCCAAGACCCAATTTCACCCCCTTGTCATCGATGCTCATTGGCTAATACCCTTTCTTTTGTCTCCATCTACTGGGTGATGTAACTCAGGAGAAGTAGATCTGGGCCATCAGCTCCTGGAGAGAAAATAGACCGTGGCTCTTTAGGGACTGGGTGGGATAGGGGAGAGTTGATAGAATGCAGAAACAACTGTGAGCTTCATGGTTGTGAACAGTCTTGTGCTCTTTTAACTCAGAAGATGCCTAATCATTTTTGTCAAATGTAACAATTTTATTAGAAGAGGATGTGTCTGGAGTGGCACAACCAGGGTGAAGAGGTTCCAGTGATTTAAGATTGATAATGAATTTTGGCAGAAGAGAAACTTTCCATATATATTTTAATGAAAAGTACGTGTTTCAATGATTGTGTTTCTTAGAGTCAAAGTGGTGAGAAGTGAAAAGTAGACGTCAGTAAAATTCTCTGTGGTAGTCAGGTGTGGACTGTTGATTGCAGGAAGATCTTTATAAACATAGGTGGTGGGGTACATTCTGCCACAAATACATCCAAGAGGAATGCCTATGGGTAAGAAGGCATTTATAATTAATTGAAATCTAAATACATGGCTTATTTTGTTGTTTAGTTTGCTCCACATTTCATTGCTCCTCGTTATGGTGCATTTGAGCGAAGGTTAAGTTAGAGAAGTCAGAAGTCAGTAAGAAAAAAGGAAAGGAGAAAAAGGATAGAAAAGGAGAGGCAAGTAGTTGAGTGGAGCTGTAGTTGTGACTGTTTATTTTGAGTTGTGTGTACCACTGGAGGCTGATTCTTCCTGAATGTTGTATTTTTCTGATGGGACTCTCCAGGGTGGCTCAGGATAATAGCAACTCTCTCTCTCTCTCTCTGAGCCTTTGGGTAAAAGTGAATAGATGGTTGCTGTTTCAGTTCATTGGAGGACTTCAGAAGCAAGCTGGCATTGAATTGGGTGGTGGGTGGTGGGTAAGGAAGAGAGACTGGAATTATCCTGAAGGAGTCTGAAGTTTCTAAATAGGTAGGGATCTCTCACATAGGATCCGTAGACACCTGAAGGTTTGCATATTTCTGGGGAGACCAAAAGGGTTAAAAACTGCTCTAAAGCTTAGCTGTTGTCTCTAAAGTATATACGTGATTATGCTTTGCTAGGATGGGACAATAGGCCACTCAGTGAAGAAATGTGAATGATCTGTCTTTGGGCATATTAGGAGGTCCAGACCATAAGCTGGGGTCCCACACAGGATGAGTAAAGATGTTACTGTGAAGGATAGGAGGCACAGAAATAAATAAATGTGATCTGTTAGTGAATAAGGACAGAGCTGTGGGTTTGTACCATTAATCGGATCTGTTCTTGTTCCCTTAGCCTCTGAGGCAAGGTTGCGAGGTCTTGCTGTTAAAACCCTCATCGAGGTGTGTGTTAGTTTTCTAGGACTGCTGTAACGAAGTACTACACGTTGGGCGGCTTGAAACAAACTTACTGGGTCACGGTTCTGGAAGCTGGAAGTCCGATGAAGGTGTCAGCAGGGCCTTGTGCCTTCTGACACCTCAAGAGAAGACCCCTTCCTTGCCTCTTCCCAGCTTCTGGTGGCTGCCAGCAGTCTTGGTGGTCCTTGGCTTGTGGCTGTGTAGCTAATCTCTGCCTTCATCTGTATATAACTTTCCTCATGTGTCCTGTCTCCACATGGTCTTCCTCTGAGGGTACCAGCCATTGGGTGTAGGGTGTATGCTAATCCAGTATGACCTCATCTTAACTAATTATATCTGCAAAGACCCTATTTCCAAATAAGGTCACATTCTGGAGTTCCAGGTAGACGTGAATTTTGGGGGGAGATTATTCAATCCAGTATGGACCTATCTTTTTGGACTGCTATGTTGTTTGGGGTTTAAGACTATATGGTGGAATAGAAGTGGTAGATAGAGTTGATGACGAAGTGGAGAAAAGACAGAAGATAGGGCTTCAGAAATGGTTAAGATGGGTGGAGGCAGAGAAGTTTAAAATGAGGGGTGCCTGTCTGGCTCAGTTGGTAGAGCACGTGACTCCTAATCTTGGGGTGGTAAGTTCGAACCCCATGTTGGGTATAGAGATGACTTAAAATCTTACAAAAATAAGTTGAAGATGATATTCTCTTAAATGAAATGTAAATTATCTTTGCAGTCAAGGTATCAAAGGCTCTAGTTTCAGGAATGGGGAGGGTGTTTCTGACCTTTCTGTTTCCTTCTTGGTGTAATTCCTTAGTTCTGCTTTCCTGATTTAAGAAACAGAGCCTTCAGCCTGGGTGGCTCAGTCAGTTGAGCGTCCGGCTCTTGATTTTGGCTCAGGTCATGATCTCATGCTCACAAGATCAAGCCCTGTGTCGGGCTCCATGCTGGAGTGTGGGCCCTGCTTAAGAGTCTCTCTCTCCCTCTGCCACCCCCCCCCCATCTCACTCATTGTCTCTCTTTCTCTCCAAAAAAAAAAAGAAACAGCTTCAAAATAACCAACCAACCTCACCCCCTCCCCCAATTGCAAACAATTCCCACAGCTAACTTGTATGACTTCATAAAGGAAGTAGCTTACAATGTAAGCTGTAAGTCATGTAATGCTCTCCCAGAGATTTTCCCCCTATTTCTCATCTGAATCATGAAGCCACTTTATATAGTATTCATTGTATCATGGCTTCATGATACTAGCTAGTTTCATTTTATTTTCTCTGTCTAGAGCTGAAGTGAGATGAGGAAAATACCTCTACCTTATGAAGGGGTCCAAGGATCCCTGTGATAGGATTTTAGTTGGGTCGGCTATTCCAGACTTAAAGCAGGCCCAGAATTCCGTGCACTCTGGAACTTAAGGGTACTTGGAGGGGATTCTAGTGGTTGCCAGGAGGGGTCTAGACTCAACTAGCTTATCATGATGATTATTTTTTTTTAAGGATTTATTTACTTGAGAGAGAGCACAGAGAGAGAGGAGCAGGAGAGAGAAGCAGACTCCCCGCTCAGTAGGGAGCCCAACAAGGGCTTGATCCCAGGACCCCAAGATCATGACCTGAGCGGAAGGCAGACTTTTATTTATTTTTTTTGAAGATTTTATTTATTTATTTGACAGAGACAGCGAGAGCAGGAACACAAGCGGGAGTGGGAGAGGGAGAAGCAGGCTTCCCACTGAGCAGGGAGCCCGATGTGGGACTCGATCCCAGGACTCTGGGATCATGACCCGAGCCAAAGGCAGACGCTTAACGACTGAGCCACCCAGGCGCCCTAAAGGCAGACTTTTAACCAACTGAGCCACCCAGGCGCCCTGGTTATTCTTTCTTAGTCCCTTAAAAATGTGATGAATATCCTGGAACTTGGCTGACTATAAAAACATCTGGCTTATAGCCAAAGTGTTTTCCAGGTAGCTTCCTACCTGCAGATATCCAAAAATCTAAATCAGGGGTGCCTGGGTGGCTCAGTCAGTTAAGTGTCTGCCTTCGGCTCAGGTCATGATTCCAGGGTCCTGGGATCAAGCCCCCCCATCGAGCTCCCTGCTCACAGGGAGCCTGCTTCTCCCTCTCCTGCCTGGTTACCTGCCTTGCTTGTGCAGAGAGCACAAGCTCTCTCTTTCTGTCAAATAAATAAAATCTTAAAAAAAAAAATCTAAATCAGAGACTATCTACCCTAGCTCCCTCAAAGCCTGGGAAAGGAGACCAGAAAGAACTACAAGCTGGGGCATTGGTCACAGAATATGAAGGCATCCAAGTTATCAAAAGCAGGTAACAATAACGTCAAGAAAGTATGTTCCGAGAACTTGAATACAAATTTAGAGAATATACAAGAAGTTTTAATCTCACATAGTTCTTAAGGTGAAATCTTGGCTCAGGGCAGATAATAAGTCAGGGTGTGAGTCATCTCTCTTCAGTTGGAATGACAAGAGACCCAGACCTTGGCACTAGAGATTCAAGGGTTATCCACACCCACATTCCTTTTCATGCCTCACCTGTCCCAGGTATGCACTAAAACTCCAGCTAAAAATAACTACAGAAACTCGATCTCTGGGAAATAGCACTTAACAGTCTAACCCTAAAGTGAAGAGCTGGTTTGTGCCAAATAGAAGAGAGACAGGAAGAAAATGGGCTCATGTGGGACCATGTAATCTCTAGGATGTGGGCCCTGATGTCTGTTTTTATTCTTGGAAGTTTTAATCTGCTCACAGCCATCCCTCCACCTGATACCTCCGTTAACCTGTGGATGCCATCTAGGGGCTGACAGAAACCAGAAGGATGGGGGAATGCAATGGAGTGTGGCAAAATGTTAGTCAAGAGACCTGTTGACTTGCTGTGTGACCTCGTGGGAGTTACTGAATCTTGATTTCTCTCATTTGTTAATATGGAAATAAGAGAATCTATCCCATCTGCCTCCCAGAGTCTTGCACCTAGTTTTTGTTTTGCATTTTTAAATTCTGTCATCGCCCTCCCTTCCAGTATCTGCTATATCCCATCTACTGTGCCTGGTACCAGGAAGACAGTTCTGAAAAAAAGTTAGATGCTCCCTTTGCTGAACTCAGCCTTAGGTGAATGCAGTCTTAGCAATGTACTGTGATTATGCTTGCCTAGAGGGCAGGGACTGTGGCTTATTCATGGATGCAATTTTAACAACTTGTAGGGCCCAGCACACAGCAAGTGTTGAATATCTGTCATTTTCTGGAACATACTATGTTTCAGCAACTTTACATGTGTGGTCTCTAGTTCTTGAACAATCCTGAAGAAAGGTAGATACTACTGTTCACATTATAAGCTGTGTGGCCAGATGGTCGAATCTGCCCCTTACTAGCTCTGGGACCTTTGGCAAGTTATTCAAACTTTCTGTGTTTCAGTATTATCTGAAGACATGCAGATAGCAATATACCTACCTTACAAGGTTGTGAGGTTTAAATGGGGTAGACTGGCTCATCATATGATTAGTATGTGTTAGCCATTATGAGTATATTATTGTTACTATTATCATAGATGGCTAAGTAGATTGCCCAGGTCATACAGCAGGTAAGGGGCCAAGCAAAATTTGGTTTCAAGACTCTACCCTTGATATTACATACACTGTGTGTGTGTGTGTGTGTATAACTTCATATTTGTCATTCAGTAAGTGCTTATTGAATGAATGATTGAGCCATAATATAGTATATATTTTTTCTTTTGGAAAAATTTCTTCGACCAGCAAATAAGTATTACCTAAATGAGCTTTCAGAGTCCACAGCCTATTTGCAAATTGGCAACAGCCTGGTGGGAGAATATGAAATTTTATTTCCACCAGTAGATGGCAGAAGGAAGAAAAGGTACTTGTGAAAGGACAGGAGTTGTCACTCTGAGCAGAATGATTAATAATGAGACACAGTGGCTGATTACAAGGGCTCTTGGTGTCATGTCTGGCCCACAGTGACTAAGGGGTGGGGGCTGGTGTGGGTATGAGAACTCCCCACAGGTATTTGAAGAGTGGCAGCCTTCGAGAAGATCTAGGCTGACCCACAGGATGGGCCCTGGGAGACTCAAGTACACAGAAGTTCAGATGTAGTAAGAAGAAAAAGTTGCCTTCTGCTCTTCTCCCAGCTCCACAGCCATAGTCCGCATTCTCCCCTTTTCATCTTACGAGCAGCTTTTTCTTTTCAAAAGTCTGCCCTTCCCTTCTAGGGTTTTGATGAAATCACTTCCCCTCTGTTTATGCCCTGCCCGCCCCCGCAGCCTGAACCTACAGATACTGTTATTCCCTCTCTGCCAACCCCAGTACACGTTGTTTGTGTTTAGAATCTAAATTCTCCAAGCCATTAATGCCCTTCTGTTGTCGCCCTCTGTCTTACTGCATATCCATCTGGTAAGCCTTGTTGCCCTCCCTCTGTCAAACCAGCATGGTGCTGGTTAGCGGGTGAGCCACTCGTTGGTCTGTTCTGTTCTAAAAAGCTGTCTTTCAGCTCCAGTGACAGGGAAGTGTCCCTCTGGTTCCATAAGAGTAGGAGAAGCACTCAGGCATGGTGGTCAGAGACCCTGGGCAAACTGCCGTCCCTGATTGCCCGTGCTGGCTCTCCTCCAGGCATTCCTTTGCGGGAGGAGTCTACCGATGACTCTGGCTTAATACCCGACTTCTTAGAAATTCGAACCCAACCTATTCAATCCAATGCCAGCTTCAAAACAACATCCTTGTTATGTTTTCTGGGTGGGTCAGGAGAGCGGGGACCGCCGGAAGATTTCTTACTTGACATATTCTGTTTAGGTACATTCATAATGGCTCGTTTGTGATTCTTTATAATAAGAGAGAGCCCGCTGTGTGCTGGGCATTGGCTAGGGGCTTGGCATATGTTAGTTCATTTACTGGAAGTAATGACTCATTTCTTGAGGAAACCTAGGAAAGCTTGTTTATGATATGTTAAAACCACAGCCTGATCATTCCTTATTCTGCATCTCCCATGATTGCGTATGTGCCTCCAAGGGTGTTCAGGGACTTTTGCAGGGAAGGCTTATGCTAACAAAATGAAGCGGAGGTTCCGGCACATCGTAGTTAATCTGTGGCTTCTGTTTTTCTTTCATTGATTTGGGTGGGATTCAAAGGGCTGGGGGTGAGGGGCAAGTGGGAAAGATGTCCCTCTTCACTGTAGTTTTGTGTTTTCGCCAAATCCCTAGAAAATGAATAAATTTGACGCTTGGACTCGGCCATAATATTCCCGTGTGCAGCCTCCCACAAAATCAGAACTTGAGGGTTGAGAGGATCTTGGCAATCAACCAGATTGTTCATTTTTCCTTCGAGTCAAGGAAAGTATGTGTGTGTTTATAAGTTTGGATATGTTTTATATTGTGCTCCTGAGGTTATAGCTATTTAAAGAGAGACTAAAATAGACTCATTCTCTTCACAAAAGTTCTAGTGGAATTTTGTTCATAATACCTGCCTAAGGAAAAAAAAATGCTTGCTTTTTAGGACTAACATCTGGAGACTGGAGTCTCCTTTTGGAGAAGAGTGGTGGAAAATGTTGGGAACAAAAATGTGTTTTAGAAAACCCTGATCAGCCTAACCCATTTTCCTAATAAATGCCAGTGTTGTCCCTAACCAGGTTCTGGGTGCTGTCTCTGGAGGAGTGTGGGTAAGTCACATTTCATGCCTCACCTCATCAGCATCTTTGTCCAGGTGAACTCCAATTATGTGCGTTCACCAAGGGAAGCCAAGAAGGAGGCCAAAGTCGACATGAGGACGAGGGTCAGGCTGAGAAGTTCATGTGAGAATGGAGAAGAGTGGCACACCTCTCTGTTGATCCCCTGGGTAGGGTGCAGGGACAGAGAGGAAAGGAGGGAGAGAAGCGTGTCATGTGAGACTTATAACCTGTACATAAATGGCAGAATTTTATGGTACTTGGTACGGTCACTTCCTGCCCCTTCTCCTCCACTCTCCACACTCCCGGGGTGGGTCACTCTCGGGCCAGTGGCCTGTGGCGGGGCTCACTTCTCTCCCCGTGACCTAGAGGAGTGGTTTCTACGGTGGGCACATGCATCCAGGGGAGTGCATGATGGTTTTGGGGTGTGGGAAGAAGTAACTAGAATTTTTATTTAGACTTTATTTTAAACGCATCCTTTTCTGATTTCTATTTTTGTGTGTTTTAGAATGTACATAAAGTATGGGAATAATTTATAATAAACATATACAAATATGGAAGTTTGTTAAAATGTTATGTTAAATAGGGGCGCACTATCAAGATTTGAGACAAAAGCGCTAGAGAATTATTCTGACAACAGTCCTTTAAAAGAATTATTTCATGTTTCATTCTGAAATTAAATTTCAAACAAAACTCTGATACATCCATATATATATATATTTTTTTCTTTTAACTTTTTTTTAGAGCAGTTTTAGGTTCACAGCAAAATTGAGAGGAAGGTACAGAGATTTCCCATATGTCTCCTCTCACTCACATGCACGGCCTCCCTTGTTATCTACAGTCCCCAGCAGAGAGTACATTGGTTACAATCCATGACCCTACACTGACACATCACAGTCACCCAAAGTCCATAGTTTACCCCAGGGTTCATACTTGGGGTTGTGCATTCTGTGCATTGGACAAATGTTATTTACAACTATCATATCATACAGAGTATTTTCACTGCCCTATAAATCCTGTGCTCTGCCTCTTCATCCCTTCTTGTACCCCCAAACCCTGGCAACCACTGATATTTTCTTTTAAGTTGAGGAAGTTCCCCTATATTCTTAGCTTGCTGAGAGTTTTTTATCATGAATGGGTGTTGGATTTTGTTAAATACTTTTTTCTGCATCTGTTGATATGACCATGTGATTTTTCTTCTTTAGACTGTTGATGTGATGGATTACATTAATTGATTTTCAAATATTAAGCCAGCCTTGCACAACTGAGATAAATCCTACTTGGTCATGATATAGAATACTTTTTTTTTTTTTAACATTATTATATTTGGTTTGTTAATGTTTTGTTGAGAATTTTTGCTCTATGTTCATTGGAGATATTTGTCTATAGTTTTCTTGTAATGTCTGTGTCTGGTTTTGGTAATAGGGTAAGGCTGGTCTTAGAATGAGTTAAGAAATATTCCCTCTTCTATAGTCTATTAGTATAATTTTTTTCCTTAAATGTTTGATTGACTTTACCAGAGAACTCCTCTGGGTCTGGTGCTTTCTGTTTTGGAAGGTTATTAACTACTGATTAAATTTCTTTAATAGATATAGGTCTATTCAGATAGTCTGTTTCTTTTCAGTACTTGGATATTCTCTTCTCTTTTTAATTTTTCAGTCTATGTTCTCCTTGCTTTTCAGGTTTGGAAGTTTGTACTAAGATATCCTCAAGCTCAGATATTCTTTCCTCAGCCATGTCCAGTCTATTGATAAACCCATTAAAATTTAAAATTAAATCCATTCAGTTCACAATGAACTGAAACCATTCATCAGTTACAGTTCAGGTTTTCCTACCCTGGCACTCATTCCCACAGTTGTTTGTTTTTTTAATCTCTCCTCTGGGAAGCCATGACTTCCTGTATTCATGTATCACTCTCCAATCTTGGGGGTAGCAGTTTGACATGTATCCTTACCTGTCTTATAGATCCTGGAAGAGTTGTTGATTTTTCAGTGTGTTTATCTTTAACTTGTTGTTAGGATGAGGAGGTAACTTCCAAGCTCCTTACATGTTGAAGTAGAAATGGAAAAACATAAACCTGCTCTTAGGTTTTTCGATTCATAGGTTGTTAGAACTTACTGTAGCCTCTAAATTCTAGTTTCAAACAGAGATTTGTCCACAGTTCCCTAAGAGTTCATTGAAGGTGTGTAAGCTATTTTCACTATTTCCAGAGCCCAAGAAAAGTCTTATATTTACCCAAAATAAGACTGCATAGGCCAACTGAAAGGACACGTGCTTTGTGTTGGTTAGAAATATTAAGTAGTTGGAGTGGTCCTCTCATACTGGAAGAGTTGTTGATTTTTCTTCATTTCTGTTACGTTTTTCATCTCTAGCATTTCATTTTTGTTCTTTCTTAGGATTTACATCTCTCTGCTTATATTGCCTGTCTATTCTTGCATGCTGTCTATTTTATCCATTAGAGTCTTGAATATATTGAAATATACGTAGATTTCTAGATTGACAAGTTTCTCTTTTTATTTAGCTCTTTAAGGGAGATTTTCTATTGTCTTTTGACTTACATTGTTTCTGATAAGAAGTCAGCCATAATTCATAATTGTTCTTTTTAAAACTTGGATGCTTTTAAGATTTTATTTTATCTTTAGTTTTTAGCACTTTAACTATGATATGTCTATGTGTGGTTTTCTTTGTATTTATCCTGCTTGGAGTTCATTGAGCTGCTATGGTCTGTGGGTTGATTTCCTTAATCAATTTTAGAAAATTTGTGTCCATTACCTCTTCAAATATTCTGTCTCATTCTCTTTTTCTGAGACTTCAAATACAAATATGTTAGGCCATTTGGTATCATCTCAGCATCTTAGATGCTCTGTTTTATACCCCCCTCCCCATTTTTCTATTTCTGTTTTAGTTTGGATAATTTCTATTGATCTATCTTTAAGTTTACTGATTATTTCCTCTGCTGTGCCCATAATTCTGCTAAGACCATCAAATGACTTCTTCATTTCTGATATCATATTTTTTTATTTTTAGCAATTCCTTCCTTCCTTCTTTTCTTCATTTTTTCCCTTTCTTTCTTCCTCCCTCCCTCCCTCTTTTCCTTTCCTTTCCTTTCCTTTCCTTTCCTTTCCTTTCCTTTCCTTTCCTTTCCTTTCCTTTCCTTTCTTCTTTCTTCTAAAATTCCTCATTTGTTTAGACATGGTGTTTATTTTTTCCACTAGGTCCTTTGTCATAGTTATCCAAGATATTTTAAAGTCTCTGATAATTGCAAAATTTAGGCCTACTCTGTGCCTGCTTTTATTGACTGTTTCCACTCTTGATAATGGATCCTATTTCCTTGCTTCTTTATGTGCTTCATAATTTTAGAAATTGAAGTAATATTTATCCTTGACAAAGGACATACTCTATAGGAGGCTGAAATTTAAAATGGGCCTGAAATTTAAAAAGGGGGCACCTGGGGGACTCAGTTGGTTAAGCGGCCAACCAGCCAATTCTTGATTTCAGTGCAGGTCATGATCTCAGGGACCTGGGATCAAGCCCCATGTGAGGCTTACCACTCATTGGGGAGTCTGCTTGAGGATTCTCTCTCTCTCCCTCCCCCCGCTCACTTGCTCTTTCTCTCTCTCTAAAATAAATCTTTAAAAAAATGGGCCTGGGCTTTTTGTTGTTTTAGTTTGATTTAGATCACCATTGGCTTCAAATATTTTGAGGGCAGGATAAGGACTTTTTTAGCAGAGCTTGGGATCTGACATTAGCAGGACCACAGAGATCTCTTTTTGTTTTATATCCAGCCACCAGCTTCACAAACTATGGAGATCTCTCTCTGTTTTTAGCACAGCTGCTTGGTATGTGTTTCTGGAAAGTTCTCTTTGCTTTCCAGTCACGTTACAGGCTTTATGCACCTTAGGAAGCTTTTCTTTGCCTGGCTGTCTGTCCCCAGTCTTTGGAGGACCCCTGAAGTACTCTCCCTGAAGGCCAAGAGTACTCAGAGGGATTCCTTTCTAGAAAGCTCTCTTTTCATGGCTATAGCTGTGCACTTGAGGAAGACCTGCATACTAGAGGAGATCTCTCTCAGCTCTCCTACCCTGTCCCCAGCATTTGAGTTACTACCCCTGTGCATTTGGTGAAGGCCTTGGGAAAACACGGGTGGGTGGCTGCACACTTGCTCTGTAGCTTGCCACATGCAGCCATTAGGGGCCCCTGGGTAGCTCAGTTGGTTAAGCGACTGCCTTTGGCTCAGGTCATGATCCTGGAGTCCCAGGATCGAGTCCCACATCGGGCTCCCTGCTCAGCGGGGTGTCTGCTTCTCCCTCTGACCTTCCCCCCTCTCGTGCTCTCTTTCATTCTCTCTCTCAAATAAATAAATAATACTAACAAATCTTTAAAAAAAAAAGTTCATTGAAAGTTAAGCAGCTCTTCTCATTCCCATCTCTTATAGATGTTTTATCCTTCACTACTCTGTCAGAAGTGACAGCTTCTATGGAAGCTTCTAACACTGAAATTTAGTTCATTTAGGTTTCTTTGTGTCCTCATATCTCTGATGGATTTTCTTTTAAAGCTGTGATTTTGTAGATTAACCCCCTTATTTTCATTGTTAGGGTGTGAGTCTCTTGTGACTCTCCACAACCCCATTCATGTTTTAAAAATAAGTTTAAGGGGCCCCTGGGTGGCTCAGTCATTAAGTGTCTGCCTTTGGCTCCCGGTCATGATCCCAGGGTCCTGGGATAGAGCCTCGCATCGGGCTCCATGCTCAGCAGGAAGCCTGCTTCTCCCTCTCACTCCCCCTCCTTGTGTTCCCTCTCTCACTGTCTCTCTGTCAAATAAAATAAATAAAATCTTAAAAAAAAATTTTAATTTTGAAACAATCTCAAGTTTATAGAAAAGTGGCAAGTATAGCAAGTAACCTTTTTCTCCCCAAATAACTTGAGAGAAAATTGTTGATACAATGCTTCATCATCCCCGAGTACTTTAGTTTTTATTTCCTACAAACAAATATATTC